ACGAGATATTGGCAAAAAACGTGCAAAAAATCGGTTTTTTTGACTTGTGACCCCCAATTTTTGAAGTTGCGGCAGTCCAATCATATGTGAATTTTAAAAATAATTTTATAATGCCAAAATACAAAGTTTATACAAATTAACAGCTGGGTATGTCAACTTTCCGAAATACAGGCCTAAATCGATCTAAAATGACTGGACAACCTATCATTTCTGTATATTCATCTACAAACTCATAAATCACATCATCGATTGCCCAAAGTTCTCATCTTGTACTATTCTTATAAGGTGGGGCACCCCATACAACACGTTCCCTGTAAATCAAATCAATAATTTTTCGGGAATTTCTCCATTTTATTTTATGTAATTTGATCAAGGCCGCAGAAGGCAATTATTTTGAAGTCTCACAGGGTGACTCAAGAAAGTGTAACATATCGAAGTTATGTTTTTTAATGAAACACCCTGTATTTCGTTAAACTTTTGAATGGGTTATGACAAATTAATATGGTTTCATATGAGGTACTGTACTATGTCCCTAACTATAACCGTTATAACGAGTTATTGATTTTTTTATGAAAATACTGGGTACAATTGGAAACTAAATAACATCGAAATATATAGAAATTATCCCTTCGAATTTTGACCATGCATAAAAAAGGTTTTGAGCTATTGATTTCGATAAAACACGTTTCTGAGTATTGTACAGAATATTCAAAAATCATTGTCGATATTTTATAATTTCGGACAAAGATAACTTTTGTTTGAAGGTTCGGACTTTCATTGTCTACTATATAAAATGATTTGAAATCCTTGAAACAATTAAAAAAGAAGAATTAAAAATCATTAGCTGAAAATAACAATTATATTAAGCAAAATGAACCTGAAGACGGGAACCTGAAAGAGAGAACGAATCAACCTATAGAAGTAATCATGGAATTACTAGGATTCTGTGTACGAAACTGTTATTTCCAACTGAAGGACAAATTCTTCATACAAGATAAGGGACTGCCAATGGGATCGCCACTTTCACCAGTCATAGCCAACATATATATGGAGTGGTTTGAAACTCTGGCCATTGAAGAAGCCCACAAGAAACCTCGAGCCTGGTTGAGATATGTTGACGACACCTTCATAATATAGAACCATGGGAATACTGAACTAGACGCCTTCCTGAAACACATCAACAGCGTGAGACCTTCCATCACTCTCACAATGGAGAAGGAAATCCACAACGAATTGCCATTCTTAGACGTTTTGGTGAAGAGGACCGACACTAAATGGGAAACATCTGTATACCGAAAACCCACTCATACGGGACAGTATCTGAACCAAAAATCCAACCACCATCAATCAACTGAAAGAGGAATCATCAAGACTCTATTAGACCGTGCTTTCGGGCTCTGTAACACGAAGGAAGGTCATGAGAAGAAACTAGGCATCATCGAAAATGATCTTCAACGGAATGGCTACTCCAAAGCGATGATAGAAAAGACCTTGGCTAGAAGACAGCAGGAGCCTCGCAAGAAAGAGAAGCCGTCACAACCAGTACTTGCACTTCCCTACATCAGAGGATTATCGGAGAGGATGAGAATAATTGGTTCCAAGTACAACATCAGAACCTGCTTCAGATCCGGTAACACTATCCGTAGCAGCCTCACGAAAACCAGGCCACCAAACGCGGACTGCGATTTCAAGAATTGCATTTACCGGATACCCTGTGAGTGCGGAAAATCCTATATTGATGAAACTAAGAGGCCATTGAATGTTCGCATTGCCGGGCACAAGAAACACACACAGCGAGGGGAAACCAGCAAATAAGGAATAGCAGACCATGTTTGGACCCATCAACACAACATCGAGTGGTCCCAAGCTTAGATCTTGCACAGAGAGGAATATTGGTTTAGGAGAAAATTCAAGAAAGCCGCTTACATGTTGCCCAACAACGTATTCAGCCAAGCCAGCGTAGAAATACGCAACATATGGAAACCCATCAGCAAGCGAAAAATGGCCAACGCCCGCCAAACGGTCATCACGGAACCAGTGAAGCGGAAAATGGAAAGCGGGAATAAGTGAAAGTACTCGAACGACCTATAAATAGTCATCTCTCGGAGGAATCAGTCCAGTCATCACCCGAAGACGATTGTAGATAGTAACAATCGAAACGTCGTGAACTAACGTAAAATTTTATTTAATGTGGAACCTTACCTGACATTTTAATGTTGAACGTAGAAGGCACTAATTAAGAAAAAACAACTGATTTTTATGAAAGGGACAAAAAAGTGACAAAAATATTTTCTTCTATGGCTATATAACTTTTTCCATTGATTCAATAGATAAGATATGTCAACAACTAATAAATTTTATCTGGAGTCTATATATCCAAAGTATTAACGAAATAATAAAACGAAGTATTAGATGACTAGCATCTGATAATAATGAATAAAAATTTATTTGTAGTAAACTGTAGAAAACTAATTTGATATTCTTTATTCAAAAGACATATTGAGAAGAAATCCATTCACATATACCAGAGTTGAATATATCTAGTAAAAAATGTATTTTGTAATATCAACTCAAGAATTATTTTTTCTGATGAGTTATTTGTAAATATAAGAGCACATAGTTACTAGATAAATGTATGTACCAGATCAAATTCAACTTGGATTCTTAAAAATCCATAATCTTTCACTTCATGAATAGCTTGGTTTTCAAAAACACTTGCATTTATGCCTTCCTTGAAAATGTCTACATGAGCTTAAATGGAAAGGGAAGCGCCTCGGTAGTTTTCTTGGCCTTTAGAAAGCTTTTCACTGTGTATATCCCGAAATTCTATTTGGAAGGCTTCTCTATTATAGATAAATGTGGAATGTACTCAGCATACCCCAGAGATCAATTCTAGTTAAAATGATATGACTAATCCTAATGTATCTCGTGATCTTACACTGTTTGCTGACGTACACAGTTCTGCTGGCGAGATCAACAAGCCAAGCGCACGTCACTAGATACTTGCAGCAACAGGCAGATAGATTAGAGGAATGGGCCAACCTGTGGAAGATCAGTATAAACCCTGACAAGAGTTATGCAATACTGTTCACTCGGAGGAGGTTACACCCGGAAGGAAATGTCATCTTCAACGGACAAGAGATTCCGTGGACCAACGAAGCTAAATGCTTGGGGGTCAACCCAGACAAAGTATTAACGTTCAGGTCTCACATACGGCAGAGAATAGGAGTGGCGAGATCTGCTCGACAAAACTTATTACCAATAATAGGTCGAAGAAGCAACATAAGACTGAAAGTGAAGCTGTTGATGATAAAGACCGTAATACTACCGATAATCCTGTATGCCTGCACTGCCTGGGGCCAGTGCGCAGCGACATACAGAAGACAGATCCAGTCGTTTATGAACACGTGCGTAAGTGCCGCCGTAGATATGTACAGAATAGGTATATATTCCAGAATCTTCACCTAAACATACACTACGTGTACGCATACATGAGGAAACACGCAGAGGATACGTTCGACAGAATTCGAGCGCACGACAACCCAGCGCTAAGCGACTTACTTACATAACGCACTAAATAGGGATGACCCCAGATTCCGAGAGAGGGACAAACACAGGAGGCCAGCGAAGCAGAATATAGAAATTTCTCAACCAGACTTTAAATTAATCTAGTATTTGATTCTCGTATCGTGGTGGTGAATATTCTTATCAAGTGTGAAATTTGACTTACGTTTCAAAACATATACACACATTTCAAATATAAAGAACGATGCTAGAATTGAAATAATATATTTTTTAAAATACTATATCTACAAGAATATCCTGGGGAAATATTTGTGATGTATCATACAATGGGCTTTTGTGCAACGAATACATTTTGTGCTGGAGTTGACCCTCCCCAAAAACAAACACCATACCTAATTCTAGAATCTACAGGAGTACAATAGTAACTTAATAACTTAGCTCTAGTCAATACAAATAATTATAAAAAAAACTTCAGGGAATTGAGTTAAGATATCAGATGTTGGCAATGACTATTCCAATTCAGGAATTTAATGAGATGAATGCCCAAAAAACTCAACAATACTACCATCACTTTTCAAAGATTGAACTGGAGATTTTAATTTTTTTTTTCTTGGCAACTGTGAATACGAATAACCTGTGTTAAAAAACTGAATACTTAATTTAATGCTCTTGAATATTTATTTTCTAAAATTGTACTATCAGATACAGAGACAATTAATGGCAAATCATCAGCATAGGCTGTGTAACTACTGTCTTTCATTATAGACTCAGTGGTATTCACATAGAGAAAAAACAAAATAGGACCTAAAATGGAGCCTTGTGGTATACCCATTGTTATGTTGCTAAGTTCAGAGTTAAATTTGAAGGTCCTCTTATTTTTCATCCTTTGCAATGACACAAATTGATCTCGGTTTTGGAGAAATGAATGTATCCAACTGATTCAAACACCTCTTTTACCATGATAATCCAATTTTGGAGTCAGCTTTTCATGATTGAAACAGTCAAATGTACGGTTCGTCACACACGAGAACAGCCGAACAATCACCTGCATATGTGTGATTATTTGATTTAGTGATGAAAACATTGCTGTATTACTAGAATTTTGTTAACAAAATCTTGGGATCAACAGTCAATTACTTTTCAGAAATCTTCCTCTTTCCTACAAGCCTGAGCATGGTGTCAGTTACATCTGTGAAACCATATCGATTAAAAATTATGTATAACGAAGTCTTATGTGCATTTGTGCATTTTTCAAGTAGATGACAGGCACTTTATCAGGACTAGACCCCTTGTTAATATTGAGCTGTTTCAAAATTTGCCTGACCTATTGTTATACATCCAACATAAGCGATGATGTTATGGAGGTTCCAGTTTATACATTCTTGACAAAAACTCAGGATATTCTGGTTTTATTGAAAAATTTCATCCCTAGTAAATATATATTGATAGTGAGCTCGAAACAAAATCCTACCCAGTAATTTAAAATATTTTATTCAACTATTTACAATTGCTTTCATTTTACGTTTTTTCGACTCTTTGGTTCTCGTTTTTAGTTTCCTTTTTTTCGCCCCAACTTCTTCCTTCTTTGGACAATCCACCCTTTTATGACCAGTCTCTTCACAGTTGAAACATTTCTGAGCAGAAAAAATAATTGGTTAAGGTAATCAGTAAAATCAAACTATATTATTTCTTGAATCACGTATCATCAAATTTTTTGTTAAATTGTTGTGGATTGTAGCTACTGTTTTTGTTATGTTAGGGTAGATACTACTCTACCACTATCCCATTAAAAATAAATGGAAAAAAATGTACAGGTATGAAAATACAAAATTAAAAATTTCAAGATGATGTACAAGGTCCGTTGAAAAAATAAGGTGAATTTAGATTTTTCTCAAAAAATATTTATTTATTCATCAATTTCTATTTTGTCGCCTTCAAAGTTGTCCACCTCATATATAATACACTTATGCCAGCGTTTTATCCAATTCTCAAAGCAGTTCTGATATGGTATGTCCTTCAGCTCTCTCAGCGATTTGGTTTTTATCTCCTCAATTGTCGCAAAACGCCGTCCTTTCATAGGTCTCTTCAATCTTGGGAATAAAAAAAAGTCGCTTGGGGCCAAATCTGGTGAATACGGTGGCTGAGGCATGATTACGGTGTTGTTTTTGGCCATAAAATTAAGAACAAGCAATGATAAGCAATAACTTCAAGATAATACTCCTTATTGACCGTACGACCATGTGGCAAGAACTCCTGATACACTACGCCACGGTAATCTTTGACACATTTTTTTCCATAGCAGAAAATCGCTGAACATGCAAAACACCTTCAACTTTAATGCCTCTCGCCAACAAACTAAACATGCTAAACAGCTGAAACTGTAAACATATGTTCGTGATGAGCGTACCAACATAAAAAAATAAAAATCTAATCGAATGTACGTAACCTTATTTTTTGAACAGACCTCGTTTCTGTGAAACAATCAGGTACTTCATCAAGATATTGAAGCATAAAAAAATCTGGGAAAGAAAGTTTTTGGCTTTCTACTACTCCATCTTGATACAAAAAAAGGATGAGGGAATCTTCCAAAGAAAGGAAGGAAGTTATCAATTTGAAAATAAGTAAATCTATGCATGGATGTGTAGATCATACAAAGAAGTAATTTTCAGACACAAACTGAAAGAAATTCCTCCTGAAACAGCTACTTTCATATAAACATGTAAGTCCATGTAAGTGCAATTTGTTACCATTCATTTAAAGTAGAACTCATGTGAATGATATCTGATTTTTATTCCACAACGAATGTGTGAAATACAAACTGAGTAGAGGAAAGTGTCTTCTATATAATTCAGTGTTCATATAGAAGTATTTGTTTCGAAATAATTTTTTTCTTTCGTGTAATTCAATGTTCATATGAAAGTAGCTGTTTCAGGAGGACTTTCTTTCAGTTTGCGTCTGAAAGTTACTTCTTTGCATGATCTACACATCCATGTATAGAGTTACTTATTTTCAAATTGATTACTTCCTTCCTTTGGAAGATCCCCTAATCCTTTTTTTGTATCAAGATGGAGTAGTAGAAATCCAAAAACTTTCTTTCCCAAAAATTATTCACTCCTAAAAATATAACCCCTTCAATTCACATAAAAAATCATTCCGCTCAAAATATTACTTCCCGAAATCTTGAAAAAAAAATAACAGTGGTGTAGTTTCAATTCATGAAAATAGTATTTTCAACACCCTTCTGTAGTATTCAACTGAAATTTTATACACACCTTTGTGAACTCGAGCTGGACACACTTATGATCGATTTGAGCACACCTATTGCACTTTCCGCAATGGCTCCAAGTAGGTTTCACACATCTGTCACAAAGTGAGCAATGAACGTAGGTCACTCCATTTTTTGAAGTACAAGCCTTGCATAACTTGCAATGCCGATTTTCTTTGGCCACCCATTTATCACAGAACTTGCAGTGCTTATAATCTTCCTTGGGTAATTTTACTAGACTGAAATTAACAAATCAAGTTGTCGAGTCAAATAATGTATTCAAATTCATCAAAAGTGGGCGGGAGAGAAACAGGTAGAAAGATTGAAAGGCAGAAAAGGTGACAAGAATAAATCAAAAAAAGGCAATGGCAAAAAAAAAGCAACAAAGACACGCACGAACAAAAAGAAAATGGGTGAAAAAAGAAGGAATGGAAAAAAAAGAAGGAGAGGAATGGAGAGAGCAGTAAGAAATATTGAACACAATACAAAGAAACTGGGAGGCAGAGTCCTTTCCAATAAGAAGAAAATAATCATCTGTACATACCTAGGCTGTACATTTGTAAAAATCCTCACTGGTGATCCTTGCTTTCTTCCCTTAGGTCCTTTCTGGAACAAAGGATGATTGTCGTATTCCACCTTAAAATCTAGCATGGAAAAATTAGGCATGAAATTCAAAATTTGCGGTTCCATAAAGTATGGATATATCCAAAACATGGGCAGATCAGTTTCAATATTATTGAGGTTCTTGTATTGTTGATTGACTGAAGTGAAGGTTGTTGCAAGGAGCTCAGTTCTACCTCCAAACGGAGGGTCTGTTACCAAAACCATATCTTTTCCTCTAAAATTAGAAAAATTGAAATCAAGAAACATCTTGTCAAGTTGTATGCTGCAATATTGACTCTTCTTTATTTTATACCTGATTTCATTCTAAAATTCTAAGACCTTATCAATTAATATTTACCCATCTGTTTGCAAATAATCATTGAAAACATCTTCGGATTCTTTGAAAAAAAAATGATTGTTGAACATGTTATACCAGGAAAATTCTAAAGGTCCAAAGAAATTATGATATCTCTTATCCATATCCAATAAAATACTAGTGAAGTTTTCACATTTACTCTGAACATATTCGTGTATCCTTGGAGCTCCTATACAAATTATATGTCTGAAACAAAAATCAAATAAAAATAAAACAGTTTAGGTATTATGTTTAAATATTTTTTTGACGTGAACCATTTGGAATGATGAAGTACATATTTCATTTCAATTATAATAAAACAAATTGAAACTATTAATATATACAGTACATTATGCATTGAACAAGCAGAAACTATAAATAATAGATGAATATCTAAACTCAACTTCAATAAAATCTAGAAAAAAATGATCTCCTCAACAACAGATGGTAATTGAGCAGTCGTTTCAATTGACCAGATAATTCAATATTAAAGGATTCTGGCCAAGACTGACTCAATCAGACACAGTCAAAAAAACAGTTTACTCTAATCTGTCTGTTCTGTTTGAAATCTGTTTAAAATCTGTTTTTCCGTTAATCAGCTGTCGCCTCCATACGAACAACAACTCTCAGAAGTTGAGAAACTTGTGCGCGCTAAGGACTAACGAGGTCTTACCTTTTAACGTGTCATTCCTAACCTAATAATGATACAGACACAAGCAATCAAAATATTCTGAAACAACATGTATCTTTTTGAACAGATTAACGGTACAATTTTAAATTTCTCTCATTAAGCAAAAGTTCCTGCCAAAAAAAATTTGAGGTATTCATCAAAAGACATAGAAAAATCATAAAGATGTTACACAAATCAAGAATACGGTTGTTTCTCGTTCATCCAGCAGCAGAACCATGCTGAAATTACTCAAGTATATCACCTACAGACCAGTTTCAAGGTATTACCTCTCGGAAAAGATTTATTAATCTTTAAAATCTAAATACATAAAATTAACTGTGATATGAGAGTAGACATTTAACAACCCCAATTTTTCTGAAATTTTTCAATTGCTTGTATGTGACAGATCTAGTTTAGATTTTCGTCTAGGCTTGAAAGTTTCCTAATTCAAGGTTTCATCTATCCAAACCTATCAACAAATATGTTAAAACTGGAAGTTACCTATATCCTATGCTTCCCAAAATGTTAACGAGAACCTCCACTGTAGATTTCGAAAAAAGATACTGTGCTTCCTTCTTAGAATTTTCCAGTGGTGGTAACAATTCCGAGGGATGCCCCAACTGGTAGTCAGTTAGCCCTATTCGTACGTTATGATCATTGTGTAAATCCTTTCCAGTTTCTTCATGCAACTGTAGACAGGTATGGCAAAAGCGTCTTTTTTCAGGGGGTGATGACAATATTTTTTTGAGAGTCAAATACATTTTTCTGTGATGGATGCCTTTGAGATTTTTCTGAATTTCTTGTCTCCATATTTCCTCCTTGAAAGACACTCTTTTTTCTTCGGGGAGAAAAAAGTTACAGAACTTTCGATCTCGGCAGGCTGAACAGGCGAAAAATTTTTCAGCACTCTTTTTAACGTGTCTAGAAAATAAAATCGTTGGGCCATGTGGACAACAAGGATGCGTTTTTAAATCTTCGACTACTATTTCTACATTTCCTTTGGACATGATCACTCAAAATATTTATGTTTATTATATTATTTATGTAAGTTTCAACAAAGTTAACCTAAAATGAAAATATAACCTATTCTATTGAAATGTCAGTTACATATTCAATGTTGCCAACATTTTCAATTTTAGATGGTGAATGACAAATGATGACTTGAAACGAAAAATAGCAGAATGTGAAACATATCGTAAGCTTGTGTTTATTGTTTTGGACTCAGAGTAATAATTTTGTTACTCTGAGGTTTTGGAGTTCGGTGTCTTTTCAATGGTTTTATGGTCACATTAATATTTTTATGGCGATTCAATGTAGATTTAGAAAAATACTTTTGAAAATGTAAAGCACAAGAATCCCCAACGATTGGTATTGAATAGCTAGCTGGACTACCGTTCAGTTTATTTATGAAATTTCTGATCGTCGTATCTGGATAATGAATATACTAATCGACCATATACAGATACATATAATGATAACACAAATAAATGACTGGATGTCAAAAATATTCATTATTGATTTGAAATATTTGCAAATAAAAGACTAGTTTTATCAAAATAAGCGTTTGACTTTTTATTATAAATTAAATAAATATATTGAAATATTTACAATCAATAAAATAACAAAAACTCAAAGAGTGTTGCTTATCTATTATAGATAAATGTGGAATGTACTCAGCATACCCCAGAGATCAATTCTAGTTAAAATGATATGACTAATCCTAATGTATCTCGTGATCTTACACTGTTTGCTGACGTACACAGTTCTGCTGGCGAGATCAACAAGCCAAGCGCACGTCACTAGATACTTGCAGCAACAGGCAGATAGATTAGAGGAATGGGCCAACCTGTGGAAGATCAGTATAAACCCTGACAAGAGTTATGCAATACTGTTCACTCGGAGGAGGTTACACCCGGAAGGAAATGTCATCTTCAACGGACAAGAGATTCCGTGGACCAACGAAGCTAAATGCTTGGGGGTCAACCCAGACAAAGTATTAACGTTCAGGTCTCACATACGGCAGAGAATAGGAGTGGCGAGATCTGCTCGACAAAACTTATTACCAATAATAGGTCGAAGAAGCAACATAAGACTGAAAGTGAAGCTGTTGATGATAAAGACCGTAATACTACCGATAATCCTGTATGCCTGCACTGCCTGGGGCCAGTGCGCAGCGACATACAGAAGACAGATCCAGTCGTTTATGAACACGTGCGTAAGTGCCGCCGTAGATATGTACAGAATAGGTATATATTCCAGAATCTTCACCTAAACATACACTACGTGTACGCATACATGAGGAAACACGCAGAGGATACGTTCGACAGAATTCGAGCGCACGACAACCCAGCGCTAAGCGACTTACTTACATAACGCACTAAATAGGGATGACCCCAGATTCCGAGAGAGGGACAAACACAGGAGGCCAGCGAAGCAGAATATAGAAATTTCTCAACCAGACTTTAAATTAATCTAGTATTTGATTCTCGTATCGTGGTGGTGAATATTCTTATCAAGTGTGAAATTTGACTTACGTTTCAAAACATATACACACATTTCAAATATAAAGAACGATGCTAGAATTGAAATAATATATTTTTTAAAATACTATATCTACAAGAATATCCTGGGGAAATATTTGTGATGTATCATACAATGGGCTTTTGTGCAACGAATACATTTTGTGCTGGAGTTGACCCTCCCCAAAAACAAACACCATACCTAATTCTAGAATCTACAGGAGTACAATAGTAACTTAATAACTTAGCTCTAGTCAATACAAATAATTATAAAAAAAACTTCAGGGAATTGAGTTAAGATATCAGATGTTGGCAATGACTATTCCAATTCAGGAATTTAATGAGATGAATGCCCAAAAAACTCAACAATACTACCATCACTTTTCAAAGATTGAACTGGAGATTTTAATTTTTTTTTTCTTGGCAACTGTGAATACGAATAACCTGTGTTAAAAAACTGAATACTTAATTTAATGCTCTTGAATATTTATTTTCTAAAATTGTACTATCAGATACAGAGACAATTAATGGCAAATCATCAGCATAGGCTGTGTAACTACTGTCTTTCATTATAGACTCAGTGGTATTCACATAGAGAAAAAACAAAATAGGACCTAAAATGGAGCCTTGTGGTATACCCATTGTTATGTTGCTAAGTTCAGAGTTAAATTTGAAGGTCCTCTTATTTTTCATCCTTTGCAATGACACAAATTGATCTCGGTTTTGGAGAAATGAATGTATCCAACTGATTCAAACACCTCTTTTACCATGATAATCCAATTTTGGAGTCAGCTTTTCATGATTGAAACAGTCAAATGTACGGTTCGTCACACACGAGAACAGCCGAACAATCACCTGCATATGTGTGATTATTTGATTTAGTGATGAAAACATTGCTGTATTACTAGAATTTTGTTAACAAAATCTTGGGATCAACAGTCAATTACTTTTCAGAAATCTTCCTCTTTCCTACAAGCCTGAGCAAAAGTAAGAGTAACAAAGATAGAATTTCATATCAGAATTGTATTAAATTCTCTTTTGAATGATACATGCAGCAGTACTACTGAGGTGCATAGTCTATATAGTTTTTGGAACATAATAGAGTGACTCATGAAACACCATGATATATCTTTATAATATAAATACTACGACACCGGTGGGTTTATACACAGCAGATCCACTGTATCATTCCAAAATTATTTAAACATAGGCATGCATCAGGCAGAGAGAACCAACAAAGTAGTGATTTGACGTTAGTTACCTTCTATCAGTCAATTTTGAAAGCAGTAATACAACCAAGGACTCATATTTTGACTCCAATTACACACACAACCGATTTAAATACCCATATGACAGTCAAGTTAAAATAGGTTTCCATACATCATCAGACGAGCTGTTGCTCGTCTACTGAGAGCAACCCTCAGTAGTCTTCAACAAAATTTGCGATCGAAAAAATAATAAATGTCTACCTTACGGTGTGCAATTCCTAATAAGGAAACATATACTTCATTCAATGCACGTTTAAAATGAAACGACTAAAAATGTACATCGATTACCAAATCGACATCAGAAGCAGAACTCCTTTTTTTCTAGGATACGCCTAAACTGTGCATATTATTTCTGTTATTTCAACCTGTCAATTGAATAGAAAGTAATCTTTGAAGATTACTTTGTTTCCAATAGAAATAAAGTCGGTTTCTACAATTACTGATGTAGTTAGAAGAGTCAGTACCACACAAATCTGATTTTTATAAACATTTTATTTTCATAAGTTTTTCAATGAATTCACAATACAATTGAATATTAGTAAAAATATTATTAGGCTTTTAACTTCTCTATTTCCATCAGCAAACAAAGAACATCGATTGATGGGAGAAACATTGGTTCAAATGCTGTAAATATCACCTTCAGTATTTGAGAGCACCATTGTCACAAGGTGGCGCTAGCGCCAATCCAAGACTAAGGGAAAACAAAAATGTCAATACCCAATGGACCATCAGTTCCCTGACACCCCCATACGACTGAGAGGAATGAAATTTGAACTGGCTGACCCAACAGCCATTGAAGGTTATCCGGATATACATCTAGTGGGGTCCAATGACTAATGGACAAAAATGTCAATAGCTCAATCAATGCTGCCTCTTCTCCCAATCCAGTGGCATGAAAAATATTGGTCAAAATAAGGAGTATGATGAAGATTATGTGTGATTGATGACTTTTTCACTTTATGGTAATTCATGATCACATGAAGATTGTTTCGTTAGTACTCATACCAACATTTTTCACGATATTGGATTGGAAGAAGCAATTTTAAAAGCTCTCCACACTTATAAAATGTGTCGCCCCTTGTATTATTTGTGCCCCTACTACTCAGGTTATTGTCGGTCTTCATCTTTAAATTGTGTCCTTGAAAGTTCCTGAATTTCTACTCGGGACTTGAGACTAAGACCAGTAAGACGTTAATAATGCGCACGTTCACGAACAAGCACATTTCAACTAGTAGTCTCTCTGAATTGTTGTTAATTACAAATACGGTTTGATATGGGATATGGGTAAATTGAATTCAATTGATTGTCAACAGATGATGGATGGTGATGTTTAAAAAAAATGTTATTTGTTAGTAGTTTCATTCTTAACATTGAAATTATGCTGTATAAATTGATGAGTCTTGAAATTTCAGAAGGCAACGACAGAGACTAAAATGAAGTTTGAGAAAAGGACTAAAATGTATAAATCAATCCTTTATGTGATGAATTATTTTATGATATGAACATGAAGCTTATTTCATGTGACAAAATGTATATAATGTCAATTATATATTCAAGTATACTAATAATAAATATACCTCTGTAATGAATACATTCGCTCCTATTGTTCTAATAGATTGAGCAAGAAATAATGCTCGCTGGTTTGATAAGAAGTTAAATAAAGAGGTCAAGTTTCCAAATTTTCAAAATATCCATAATACATAAAGACACATTACGGACTTCTTTGATGTTTTCATCGGTAACAGCCTCTTTGGGGCTTAGGATCGTCCTCGGTGCTCATTTCACATCGTTTAAACTTAGCAAACCACTCCTCAACGGTTAACTTTCCTGGTGCGAAGTCCGATCAATATTTATCAAAAGCCTTAGCTTGGCTTCGACAGTTTTTTTGCTAAAATTCAATGCTCAAAATTTGTTTGAAGGTGGTTGACAATGTTTCGTGGTGTATTTCATCAGTTCGGACTTCCATTGTGTCTAATTTAATATGAATTGATTTCAAATTCCTGAAAGAATCTGTGAAAAATTAAAAAGATTAACCGAAGTATAACAATTCTATTGAGCAAAAAACTCAAATTATAAAGAAATGACATACAAGCAACAATAAAAAAAATTGAAATATTAATACAAGCTAAAAATAAAAAAATTAAAGAATATTATTAACAAATAAAATAAAAATTGAATAAAAAATGGAAAGATTCCAAACAAAGTTACGTCACGACGTTNTTGATAAAAGATTAGTTACCGTTTTTGCAGGCTTTGTTCAACCCATAGAAATCTACAGGGTGGTCGAGTGTACCAATTTAATCGAAATTAAACGACCTCATGCATTTATTTTTATGATATTTAGTATGTTATAAAAATATCCCTAGACTTTTCCGATGTGTGTATATTAAAGTAGACAATGGAAGTCCGAACTGATGGAATACAATGCTCAAAATGTTCTGTCGCACAAACTAATAGTCCGAGAGCTGTGAAATTTGTAAAAGTGTCTTTTGAAGGTTAGGGTTAACTAAAAAACTCATATTCAATACTAGTAGTGCCATCTGTGTGCTAGCCTACGAACTTTTCAATTCTCCTGAAGTTGTTTATGTACTATAACTTAAACAACTGGAAATGAATCTGAAAAATATTATTGCGAGACAGCTTCACTGTTGACTACGACAGATAGAATAAAACATTCAAACTGGTTGGATGAGATATCTTGGAAATACAGATTATTGTTCACAAAATAATAATTTTGTATTGTTTTTCAAAATAGTTTATATACATATATATTTAATTTATGTATGTATCAGAATGTTTCCTATTTCAATAAAATACTACTACTATTACTACATTTTTGTGAAAATATGTAAAAATGGATTCTATATAATACAACTGGCCTCTTTACAAGGCCAGTATCAGTTGCTGATAATGAATATGGACACTCTGTGTACTTTCAAGCCTACTTTTAGTATAAGTAGTTGTGAAAATGGATTGTTTTTTGTTGAATTAGCTGTCAAGATCAAAATACGCCTTCATGATGTTACATTGGTTATTAGTTTTCCTCAGTGTAATTTTGTTTGGTGTTTTTTCTATCAGTGTGGCATATCTTCGGCGAATTTATTGACCCGAGTGGAAACAAATTTTTTCAACGAAGAAAATTTTTTATCTCGGTTCGAATATGCAATATTCAAAATTACTCAAATACTTTTCACAACTCATTTTCAGAAAAACATTCCTCCGTATGGCAAAGTTTTCGGGGGTCATTATACAAAACAAAACCATGCTTTTCATTTTGCAAATTCTGTTAGATTCCACGAAAGCAGCGATAATGCAAAAATAGATTAGGGAAACAGCAGAGCCAAACACAGAAAACCACAAATATATCTTACGTCTTGACAATCTCGGTGTAACGTGTATGTGAATATTATCCCCGGGAGATGCAGAGACTAAAAAATAAAAAACAAATGAACGTGAAAACATTTTATTTTCTCGCAAACAGATAATATAGTAATATATTTATATACAGTAAAAAATTCAATTATAGGATTTGTATAAACGCAGTATAAACTTGTATTTATTGATTAGGATTTGGATAATTCATATGGGCGAAAAAAGTGTATACAGCGAGGACATAAATCCACTCCCCCACTTAATTTTTGATATCAGGGTCGGACAATAAATATAATAGTGTGACGTCACTCATTGCCGTCACTTTTCTAAATGAAAAGAGGTTTATTATGTTACCTCTTTTGAAAGGTCTTTCAATTCTCTATCCAACACTGTTTGAATTTTTGAAATCGGACCAACCGTTCCCGAGTAATTGGCAGTTCTGTTTCTTTCTTAGAATTCGCAAAAAACCAATATCATTATTTCAATGCAAATTTTATTCAAAAACCAATAAAACTGTATCCAAAATGAATGTTCCAAATCAAAGAATGTATGAAAACTCTCAAGGCCGGAGATACCTGCATCAAAGCCATTTTTCGAGTTTATTGGCCGTGGTCCATAGGTGTTTATGCCTGTGCCTGGACGGAGGAAGAAGAAGAAATTCATAAACACAAGACAGTTTCATTTTCAATTGAAAAATGGAATGAACATGAATAAAATGTGGCTACCTGTTTCAAAATGTACACAAGAACCACACAACGCCCTATACCAGTGGAATAAAACTGGAGAAATGTTCCAATAATGTAGTATCATCTGCTTTTAGGACAATTAGAACACTTCGTCAGTTACTTAATGGCCTTTGATGATGTTTACCACAATCTTAGACAAAACGTCAGGTACAAAATTTGCAGATCATGAACAACAAATACGAAAAAAATCAACCATTCACTTCCATGCAATAATGAAGTAATTTTACAGGTTCATTTCTCACATTTGAGATACTGGAATAGTTGGGTAAGTAACACTATTAAACCATTTGTTGGGAGAGTAAATAGGAAAGTATCCGCGAATAATTGAACATATGCCATTCACAATAAATTGTGTATTGTTGTTTTGTGTATTGTTTTTCTGTTATTGTAAGTCATAACTTCCAAAAATGATATTTATTACAAGTTCCTGTGATTTTGTTTTTTCCTTCAATCACTTCACAAAATCAATGAAACTCGAAAATTGGACCATATCTCCCTTGTTTCTAAAATATGTACACAACTGGAGAATCATATAGGGTTCAATTACAATCGTAGCTGAATTTATCTGAAGAAAACAATACTCTTAATAAAAAAATGATATGCAAAGAAGTAATTTTCAGACACAAACTGAAAGAAAAAGCCCTTTCGAAACAACAACTATTTTCATATAAATATTGAATTACATGAAAGAAAAATACTATTGAAACAAATTCTTTTATATGAACGCTGAATTGTACAAAAAACACTTTATTCTATTTCGTTTGCATTCCAAACATTCGTGATGGGATCGAATCAGATATCATTCTCAGGATTTCTACACAATATAATTAATGAAAGAGGTAAAATTTCACCCACAAGGAAAACTGTCATCCTCACTGCTAGACATCAGATGTTTCACCGTAAGACACTTGCCTTCAGTAGCAAATACATATAACATTATAAGAAAAAAACACTCAATTCGTTGATAATTATGACTTTTTGTTACGGAATGGGTTGAATCCACCCATGTCATCGATGACAGTACGTAAATAATATTCATTCGCTTATTTGGATAAATCCCAGCCATAAAAAAAATCAACTCTATACAAAGATGTGTAGATCACGCAAAGAAGTAACTTTCAGACACAAACTGGTAGAGAAAGCCCTCACGAAACAGCAATTTTCCTGTAAACATTGAGTTATACGAATGAAAAATACCTTCGAAACAAATACTTTTATCTGAACACTGAATTATACGAAAAACAGTTTTCTCTATTCCGTTTGTATTCCAAACATACGGTTTATAGATGGTTCTAAGTGTAAAATATGGTCTATTTAAAGACCCCTCTAGAATGACGTAAGTATGTCACATGACCCCTCTTTGGCGCACTTTTGGCGACGAAGGAAGTCATACTACTGATTATTTTTTACCAAAATGGTCTAAAAATGACTGCTTTCAATGTGAAATTTGTCCGACCTTGATATATAATAGGGTTCAAAAGTTGAGGGGAGGCTTCGTAACTTCGCACTCTATATCGATATGCCGGACAATAATAATGAAATAGGAATTTCAACCGAACATTCCATCATGAAATACCACGGCAACTATGAACAAGAAACATTCAGTCATATCACTCCAATTCAGTTCCATGAAAATACTTTCTTTTGGAATGTACATTTTCAAAATTCAAATTGTTTTTTTTTATGAAATATCTCTTCAAAAAATAAAATTGCACTTTGTATATGTAAAAATAAAAGTCGGGAAGCTCAAACGGCCCCCATCAACAACTCGTGTTCTTTTATCACAGAAAAAGAATTTGAATTCTTTATCGAACTTGCTCTTTTCAATATACGAGGTGTGTCCTAAAAGTATCCGACCTGCGTTCATATCTCCGCGTTGGTGCTATTCTCCGTGATTCGGGCTGTGGTCCCTATTATTCTGGTATCTGTAGAGAAGGGAGGGTGAGTGTAGACTCATAGCACTTAGACCACATGTGACCCATTGTACATCCTCACGAGGAGTTGTCCTCCTAGGTCATCGTCCATCCTGTCCTTTCCAGGAAGGTGAATAGGTCACTAGGAGACATCTCCTACATATTGGCAGGTGTAGGCCAAGACTCGCCGAACACACACTCTCTTTGGCAACCTTGAGGTGTCTCACGGTGGCCTCCGCGAAGGTTTTGAAAGGTGCTGCGATATTATTGTCGTTGCGCGGCTTCTTCAACCTTTTTGGAGATCCCTCCATGGAGGTGCACAAGCGAGGAAGCTTTCCTGCAGGGGCAGCCGGTTCCTTGCCTTCATTCACGGCGGAGCTCTTGGCGCCCGCCGCAGGAAGTGCCCTCGCTGTTGGAGGTGATCTGCTATGTCCAGCCTCACTCCAAGCGGTAGATTGGGGTGGACATTTCTGTTTATCCCCAACCACTGCCTTAGATTGAGGTGAGCACTTCTGTCCAGCCTCGGGATTGGTTTTTATTTTTGTTGTTTCATTCATGTGAGTTTCCACGTGTAGCAAGGGGCAGAGTCCCGCATTACCAGAGGTAGGGGATCGTTCATGACCGCATACCACCCTGCGGCCAGTCAGCTGTCGGCACGATTCCTTACGCCTTAGCTTGGGTAGGCTGGTCCACGATGGCATGTTTTGCAAAGGCTTCAGGGGGGGGTTTTAGTTCCCCTCACCCTACTTATTTCCGCCAGTGATCAGAAGTCCGGTGACCCCGTCCGTAAGGCCACATTGGCTTCCCGGACAGGGCCTCCAGTCCCCTGGCCTAACCCACGGGAAGTAGTCCCCATATGATAGGACACCACACGTTCCCAGTGGAGATTCCAAACTTCGGAGCAGTCCTTGAAAGCATATTTTGGAATGGCCTTTAGCTAGCGAGTCGCATTACTCTGAATCGTCGCGATGTCATCAAACCACTTTCCTTTGAGCGCCATTTTCAATTTTGAGGAAATTTGAAAGTCACAGGGAGATATGTGAGGGAGGCTGGTGAAGCTGTACAATCTTGTATTTCGCCGAAAATTGCTGCACAAGGTTCGACGAATGCTCTGGCGAATTATGGCGGTGAAAAATCCAGTCACCGCTTAACCATTGCCATTTCTGAACTTCAACATTAATATTCTTTGTTTATCGTTTGACCTCTGGAAGCAAATTCGTGGTGCACACTCACAATTGGAAAAATAATCAGTATGACTTGACATGGCTCCGACTTTTACGTACGTGCTTTTTTCAGCCGTGGTTCTTCTTGACGCTTCCGCTCTGAAGATTGTTGTTTACTTTCATTTTAATCATTTGAATCGTCTGCAAAACTCCATGCAAATTCAATGATCAGTTATTTCTGTTATTCTCAACAGTAAATAAATGTAAAGCACAAAACAAACATATGGGACATTCACACAAGCTGCGCGCGTTTAGCCGCTCACTACGACGACAAGGGACTACGCTCATATTCCGCAGAGACTAATCAAGCGTTCTGGCATGAAGATATGAACGCAGATCGAAGACTTCTCAGAAACACCTCGTATGTACTTTCAAATTTGTTCAAATCATATACCAGAAATTGGATTGGAAGAACTTCGAGAGTTTGATTGAAAGAAAACGAAACAATATTTTTCTTTAGATAATTCTATAGGAATACAGGGTTGCCACAACTAACTAGGGTGATCTTAAAACTAGCGACTGTGCTTTTTTCTTTGTTACCAATATTAGTTTTCACGAATTTGAAACTGATATATAAACAAATAATATGTTTGGAAACATTGGTATCTTATTTGGAAGGTTTTTTTTTGAACTTGATCTTTGTAAAACATTCGGGACAGTCATCAAATTGAAAATTACTATTTTTTGATATCCCCTACCTACTGAGTTTCTACATTTTTTTCTCATCAAGTCACTACCATGATCAATTTTATTCTTTCAGAATCAATTATAGCAACTCAAAATGGTGTTTGAATTCAGAAGCTATGGCTAAGTTTTAGTTCCTGTTTCATATATTAAAACAAATACTAGTCCAAGAAAGTTTTCATCTTTCAGATAAAAACGTTACAAAATTTCAAATTGGATCATCCCATTTGAAATATTATCACTTCCCCGCAGTTATTTCTTCCAAAATAAATATGTTTAGAGTGAATTATCTTCATTACATCAGGAAATAACGTAAGCACAATAGTGCCACAAAAATCTATAAAATTGTTTTTCCACAATTCACACTCACAACTTGTAAATTCTTATTTACAACTTACAACAAGTTTACAAATTCAAAGTTATAACTGTGAATCATGATAAGCGTCTATAGACAGCAAACCACTTGAATAAATACTTTGCGCATCATACAATAGACATCAGAACATTGCGAGTTTATTGAGTACCTAAATAATTTTTAATTAAACAAAATTTAACTTGTAACCTTACAAAGCAAAAGTTGACCCCAACTGGTGAAAAAGTGTTACTTATTCATTAAATCTGCAGAACACAATAAACCTGCAGAATGGAGTAGTTTGCTGTCTACATGCTGAACATGATCAACATTTATGACTATGAATTCAGAGTTGTAACTAAAATAGAGAACATTCTCGATGCATATTTAATTTTCGCAATTCTATGAAAGTTTATCTTCCTTTGCTAGCTCTCCTATTGAAAAAATGAATTAGAAATGAAAAAAAAATGTTTCAATGAAACTATCGCAAATTTGAATACTTCTTTGTGTAGAAAAACACCGTTGAAATAATTTCTCCGAGCACGCATAAGAGAATAAACAAACTTAATTGTTCACTGTTAAAGTGTTTCACATTGTCAAATATAGATGTCGCCATAACATAACTTCTCTCCCTTAGTTGAAAAACTTTCACAACACCAAATTGGGGCATGCACCATTTGAATGTTGGTTTAGCTTTTCATAAAGGGTAAATATAGTATCCAAAGAAGTTGTACAGAGTAACTAAACTTGTTTAGTGGTGGCAACCCTGAACCCACATCCAAAGCCCTTTATTTAGCTTGGGTATCACAAAGTTTCAAACATTCCAAACCATTCATCAGTAACAAGCGTAACGTCAATCTCTCCTAGAGGGTACTCTTAGCATATTCGGTGTCGACTGACTCGAACTAATGTTCCCCGGCAAGGTTGCAGCGCCCCCCTCGTCATTTAAAATAAACCCTATCGGTCTCGAAATGAAAGGAACGTTGTTCATACTCAAAGACCTGGTGGAGCAAACGCCCCTTGAATTATTACTGTTGTTGTTCGCGAAGTTGCTGTTGTTGAACATTTGCAAAGTGTCGATAGTTACGTTAGGGTTGACCGCCTCTGGTTTCGTACCGTGCACTATCCTTGGCATCTCGCACTGTTCACACTTGTCCAATATCGGGTGGTTCAGGAATGTACATATGCCGCAGTTCCATTTCGGCCCCTCTATGTCTGCCGGGTGGGGGCCTGGGTACTGAAGCCGACTTCTGGTTTGCGGCCGCAATCTGGGGGGCAGGAGGGGCGGCGATCCGAAAGTCAGAGGCCCTTGAGGCCCTGTGTAGATGTTGTTATAAAATGCTTCACCTAAAAGAATAATAATAATGATTTAGTAATCATTATTGATTCGCTAGGCAAAAGGCATATAATTACATACAATTACATGCTTAATTTGATAAATGAAATCTAGCAATAAATACAAACATGTTATCAAAATGATTATTCATTTTTGAAACAACACTATTCGAAAAAAATGACAAAACACATGAAAGGAAAAACAAAAATAATGATTGAGGCAAAATTTCAAATTATCTACAAAATAAGGGTATTTTCTGCAACAGATATTTTACTCTTATGACGGCAAACATAGTGATATGTAATGTTGTGAATCATGCCCGAAAGAAAATAACGCCAGCCGCCACTGGTAACTATAAACCAAGCGTGACGTAGCTAGGAGCGCGCGAATGTACGATGATTCCCCGCCACTCTAGAAACAGCGAGAATAATGCTACCGAACTTCGGTGAAATTTCTACGGCATTCGATAACGATATTTAAAGGCTAGCCACGAGGATATCGAGACAGTCAAGTGGACTTTACAGTTCGCGAAGTGATTTAGTTATGCGATATAGATTCAAATAATAGTTGGAGTTTAGTTGATTAGTCAATGTAGTCAATTATTGGTCAACCCACGGGGAAAAACGTAATAATAAGATAAATAAATAAGTACCATTCTGATCACTCCCATATTGATTCCAATTTAAGAGCCACCGGTAGACAGCTGTTTCAGCCTATTGGATATCGTCAGTATCAAGCAGGCGGTCCTCGATTGAAGACAAAATGTGAATAACCAAGAAAAGTACTTGATAAAAATAACTGCGTAAACGCAAGTGAGACATAAGTGGAACCACTTATTGGTGTGACACCCAAATCAACTTGCCAAGTTTTTATGTCATTGTTAGTGGTTTGACCAATCAACCGAAAACTGCGGTAGCAGAAATTTGGGAAGGTAACCGAGAATGTCATCGAAAAACGAATCCATATGGGTCTATGCCCACTTATGTCCACGATTTTGAAGCCATTTTCAAGAAAGTATGGCTACACTGATATCTCCATCTGCCTTCTTCTCTGGTAGTGATACGCTTTAAGGAATTTGTGACTTGACATCGGGGTCTCAATCTGCCTACTCCCAAGCGTCGACTGTGGGTCCAAAGACTCTGGTCTGGTATTATTGCCTCTGGACGAGTGGAGGGGCGAATGAGGTAATCTTTGTGAATAATCTCCTTTGTTGAGGTAGTAGGGACGTTTTTCAATTTCAATAGCTTCAGGTATTACCTTGGCCTGGGGTGTTTTATCGGAGGCAATGGTTTTGGTGTTTTCGAAGCTTATTGTGTGGCCTGTTTCATGATGATGTTTGAAGAGGATGAGGCTGGATCTGATTGCAAACTCATGTTCATAGGCTCTGTTGAGGACGCTTCGGTTGGACTGGCCGATCTAAGTTCTGGAGCAGGTGGAATATGGTATTTCGTATATGCCCTGTGCCTCATTGGGTATCATGTGCTTAGGTGTTCGTAGAAAAATAGAAATTTGATTGTTAGCTGTGGCTACTGTTTTTATATCGTGCCTTTTCAGAAGAGTACTCCACATCTAAAAGAGCAAGAATAGCAGACGGACCATCCAAAAGATTTTCTTCCTTATATTCATTATATTCATGAAGTTACCAACAATGTTAGCCGAATTCTGAAGAGGCACGGTATAAGAACAGTATTCACGGCCAGCAGCAATCAAATTTCCACTTTTCTACACCCAAGGACACGATACCCTATGAGACACAGGACATATACGAAATACAACGTTTCCCTTGCTCTAGAACTTTCAGATCGTCCAGATCAACCGAAGAGTCTCAACAGAGCCTATGAACATGAGATTGCTGCCCGTATATCAGATCCAGCCTTACCACTCTTCAAATATTACAGTGAAACAGGCCACACCAGACGCGGCACGTAGAAGAAGATGACACAAATCCGCAGTTGGTTCCTGATGTTGAATAAGTTTGCATTTGACCCTTTTTTCGCAACGCAAGTGTTGCCTATGCTTCACACTTGGCTGTACCGTACTGACGAAAGGCCAATTAGCCAGAAACACGTGTCTGCGGTTAGCCCACCTTCTTCTCTCAGTGATTGTCCAATATATATACACTGTGTCAATTTTAAAACTTACAATGGGCTATATCTCACGAACGAAAGCTGATATCGAAAAATGCTTGAAACCGTTTCTAGGATAGTAAGGGGGAACTAAAGTGACATGAAAAAGAACTCACCCCCATCAACCCCCTAGGCCCNATATCAGCTTTCGTTCATGAGATATAGCCCCATTGTAAGTTTTAAAATTGACACACTGTATACAAAAGAGGCATCTTGCAATAAAACTTTTCTATTCCGGACATTAAATCGTGTCTTTTTTGACTATACTCTAAGAAAGCCAATTGCCAACAACACAAGTATACACAGAGTGTTCAAAAATCTCAAACTTACCGTCTAATTCTAGCACTTTACATTGCCGTCTGAGATGTCTTATTTCCATAGTTAATTGTTTCTCCATTTCTATGTCAGCCAGCTTTTCGAGTCTATTCTTCTCTAAATCGGCAACTTCTTGCTTCATTATAACTAATTTGGCTTTTTCAGTATTCAGTTCTATTCGCAACCGTTCTATACGTGCTTCTTGTTTTAATATCACAGGCGCTGAAAATAGAACAGTAAAAAAATTAATGATCTGGCGTGTACTTTGTAAACGTTTCATTGATTCAAAAAATAAATGTATGTTCAACAAAAGAAAATTTGTATAAACCGGATGAGCAAAAAAAATAAACGGGAAAAAATTATAAGTAACGTATTTTCGAGTAATCGAAAGGAAATTTTCGAAAAAAGGATGTGAAGATAGTTGAATTTTTGGGAAAGAGGGATTACGGCTTCTCCATTTTGATACAAAAAATGTGGAAAACTTACGAAGTTAAGAAGGAGGCAACTGATTTCAAAATGAACTCTCCACAAAGACGTGTGTATCGTGCAAACAAGTTACTTTCAGACAAACTGGAAGAAAAACCCCTCTCGAAACAACTACTTCCATAAAAACATTGAATTACACAAGAAACACTCTTTCCTATTTGGTTGGTACTCCATACATTCGTTATAGAATTGAACCAGCTTTTCAGGAAACTGCTTTTACCAACTGAAGAACGAATTATTTAAGCAAGATGAGGGACTGCCAATGGGATCGTCACTTTCACCAGTTAGAGCCAACATACATATGGAGTGGTTTGAAACTCTGGTCATTGAAGAAGCCCACAAGAAACCTCGAGTCTGGTTGAGAAATGTTGACGACACCTTCATAATATTGAACCATGGGAATGCTGAACTAGATGCCTTGCTGAAACACATCAACAGCGACAGACCTACCATCACCCTCACAATGGAGAAAGAAGTCCAAAACGAATTGCCATTCTTAGACATATTGGTGAAGAAGAAACATCTGTATACCGAAAACCCACTCACAAGGGACAGTATCTGAATCACGAATTCAACCACCATCAATCCACCAAGACTCTAGTAGACCGTGCATTCGGGCTCTGCAAAATGAAGAAATGTTTCGAGAAGGACCTAGGCACCATCAAAGATCTTTAACGAAATGGTTACTCCAGACTTTGGCTAAAAGACAGCAAGAACCTTGCAAGGAAGAGAAGTCGTCACAACCAGTGCTTGTACTTCCCTACATCAAAGGACTGTCGGAAAGGATAAGAAAAATTGGGTCCAAATATAACATCAGAACCTGCTTCAGATCTGGGAACACTATCCGTAGCAGCCTCACGAAAACCAGGCCACCAAACGCGGACTGCGATTCCAAGAATTGCATTTACCGGGTACCCTGTGAGTGCGGCAAATCCTACATCGGTGAATCTAATAATAAACACACACAGCGGGGAAAAACCAGCAAGTCGGGAATAGCAGAACATGTTTGGACCCCTCCCAGCTGAGATCATCCACAAGGAGGAACACTGGTTTAGGAGAAAATTCAAAGTAGCTACAAACATGTTGTCCAACGACGCATTCAGCCATGCTAGCGTAGAGATACGCGACATATGGAAACCTATAATAAAGCGGAAAACTGTCAACCCCCGCCAAACGGCCATCTATCGCTAAACAGGTGAAGCGGAGAGAGGGAAGAGGGGATAGGTGAAAAAACTTGAATGACCTATAAATAGTCATCGGACAAATAAATCCAGTCATCACCCGAAGACGAATGTGGATAGACATGTTTCGCTATACAATAACTTCTTCAGGTGTATCTCTACTGTCACTTGAAACCGCAACACGTGTTTCGCTATACGGTAGCATCTTCGGGCGTCACAATACTGAGTATTGCGACTTCACAACGAATTTTAATCAGTTCTATCATATAGAAATGTAGCCTTTCACCGCTGGCGTCAATGTTTTGGTTAGTTTCCTGATTTTGCCGTGGTCTTTTTTTGGTTATAATTTCCAAACGTTTCGACTGCAACTGCGTCAGTCATCTTCAGTGGCGTGGTCGAAGTACTCTTCTTGATGTACAGCTTGTCAAATGTAGGAAGAGCTTTCTGAAGAAGTGGGGTCCCGCCCACTAAATGTAAGTTCGTTAGAAAACTATGAGAGCATGAGAGAGAGAGAGAGAGAGTTCTCAAGCTGTACTCTTCTGGACGTAAGTTTCAGTTGATATGCTGTATTGTCCAAGAAATCCTTATGGACAAAGTTAGTGAAACTTAATGAAGTCAACAATGTTACAATTAAAAAAAATATATTAAAATTATGATATACATTGAACAATTAATTTGGGGTAAAAAATGTACATACAGAGTAGTCCAACGAAAAGTATGCACCTTACTTTTCTCCTTTTTTTATAACTTAACGCAAAAATGCTCGGACAGGTCAATTTTGCCTTTGAGGAGGACACATTTTAGATGTATTTTTCTACCTGTGCCTTCAACCCCCTAGCGAGGGTGAGTAACAACCCTAAAATTTCAAATGGAAAGTGGGGTCGAGTGATATATCATTTGAAAGGGCACAAAATTATCTTTCCAATGATACCTAATTTGTTGTATTTCACTCAAACATGTAGGTATTATGAAGAAAAACAACTACAACCCAGTACTTTGAAATGTGTAATTGACT